TTAAAGTGTTGAAGAGCAAAGATGTCAGTTTGAGGACTAAGGTGCACCTGACCCAAGCCATGGTATTTTCAATAACCTCATATGCATGTGAAAGCTGGACTGTAAATAAGGAAGACCATAGAAGGATTGATGCCTTTGAGTTATGGTGTTGGAGGAGAATATTGCAAATGCCATGGGCTGCCAAAAGAACCAATAGATCCGTGTTGGAAGAAGTCCAGCCAGAGTGCTTCTTGGAGGTCAGGATAGCCAGCCTTCATCTCAAACTTTGGGCATGTTATCAGGAGGAACTGGTCACTGGAGAGGGAAATCATGTTTGGTAAAGTGGAGGGTCGGAGAAAAAGAGGAAGACCCTCAATGAGATAGATTGACACAGTGGTGGCAGCATTGGACTCAGACATATCAACGATTGTGAGGTTGACCCAGGACTGGGCAATGTTTCATTCTGTTGTGCATAGGGTCACTGTGAGTTGGTACCAACTCTGTGGCACCTAACAACAACAACAACATATGAAAGAGACAATCGCAAGAAAAGATTTGATGCATTAGACACTAAGGACCAAAGACCAAGAGAATTGTGAAATGACATCAAGAGCATCATATAAGAAGAAATCAAAAGGTCATTAAAATGATAAGAAAGAAAAGACAGAAATGGATGTCAGAAGAGACCCTGAAACTTGCTCTTGAGTATAAAGCAACTAAAGCATATTCAAGAATGTTGTTGTTGTTAGGTGCCGTTCGAGTCAGTACCAATTCATAGTGACCCTATGCACAACAGAATGAAACACTACCCGGTCCTGGGCCAACCTCACAATCGTTGCCATGCTTGAGCCCATTGATGCTGCCACTTTGCCAATCCATCTCAATAAGGGTCTTCCTCTTTTTCTCTGACCAACCCCCCACGTTACCAAACATGATAGCCTTCTCCAGCGACTGGTCAATTCCTCCTGACAGTACAGACGTAAAAAATGCTGAATAGAAATTTTCAAATGGTAATTCGAGAAGACAAAGTCAAGTATTATAATGAAATGTTCAGCGACCTACTTAGAAAACCATAAGGAAAGAACACAGTATTTCTCAAGCTGAAAGAATTGAAGAAAAAAATTCAAGTCTTGGGTTGCAATATTGAAAGATTCTGTGTACAAAATATTGAATGACACAGGAATTATCAACAGGAGATGAAAAAAATAAATAGAGTCACTGTACCAAAAAGAATTTCAAACATTTCAGTAGGTAGCATATGATCAAGAACCAATGGTACTGAAGGAGGAAAGCCAAGCTGTACTGAAGGCAACAGGAATTGATGGAATGCCAATTGAAATATTTCATCAAATTGATGCAGCACTGAAGGTACTCATTCACCTATGCCAGGAAATTTGGAAGATTGGAAGAGATCCATAATTGTGCCCATTTCAAAGAAAGGTGACCCAACTGAATGCAAAAATCATCGAACTTCTTTAATATCACATACAAGTAAAACTTTGCTAAGGATAATTCAAAACCAGTTGCAGTAGTGCATCAACAAGGAGCTGTCAGAAATTCAAGTCAGACTCAGAAGGATGTGCAAACAGGGATATACCATTGCTGATGTCAAATGGATCTTGGCTGAAGGCAGAAAATACCAGAAAGAAATATACTTGTGCTTTACTTAGTATGCAAAGGCTTTCAACTGTGTGGAGTATAACAAATTATGGATAAAATTATGAGTAACTGGGAATTCCATAACAATTATGCTCATGAGAAACCTATACATAGACCACGAGGCAGTCATCGGAATAGAAGGGGATACTGAATGGTTTAAAATCAAGAAAGATATGCACCAAGGTTGTATGTGTTCACCATACTTACTCAGTTTGTATGCTGAGCAAATAACCTGAGAAGCTGGATTATATGAAGAAGAATGGGTCATTCATATTAGAAGAAGACTCATTAACAACCTTGCTTGCTAAAAGTGAAGAGGACTTAAGATACTTACCGATAAGAGCAAAGAGTACAGCCTTCAGTACAGATTGCATCTCAAAAATCTTCACCGCTGGACTAATAAATAACATCATTATAAATGGAGAAAAGATTGAAGTTGTTACAGACTTCATTTTGCTCGAATCCATAATCAATACTCATGGAAGCAGCAGTCAAGAAATCAAATGAGGAAGTACTGCATTGGGCAAATCTACTGCAAAAGAGCTCTTTAAAGGGTTAAATAGCAAAGATGTGAGTTTGAGAACTAAGGTGTACCTTAACAAATCATGGCATTTTCAATCACCTCATTTGCATGTGAAGGACTTTAGGTATGGTGCTGTTCAAAGGTCTGTATTTCAAACCCATCAGCTGCTCCTCAGAAACCCTGTACAGGGTTCCTATGAGTCAGAACCCACTCAATGACACATAACAACAACAACAAATATACATGTGGAAGTTGGACCACGAATAAGGAAGGATGTAGAAAAATCAATGTTTTTGAGTTATGGTGTTGGAAGTCCCATGGACTGTCAAAAGAAGAAGCAAATCTATGTTGGAAGAGGTGCAGCCTGAATGCTCGTTAGAAGCATTCATACTTTGGACATATTAATAGGAGGGACCAATCCCAGGAAAAGGACATCTGGCTTGGTAAAGTGGAGGGTCAGTGAAAAAGAGTAAGACCCCAATGAGATGAATGGACATAATAACAGCCAGTGAGGATGGGGCTCAGACTCTTGGAGTATATTCTGTGGTAGAAAGCACACAAGTGAGGCCTCAGCTCTGCCATTGCAGCCACATAGTCCCCTCACCATTATTCTCTGAACATTATGTGTTCCAGGTCCCTATGCTGAGGGCTGTGTGGGACATATGGCATGGTCTATTCATATTGTCTCCTCTGTCAAAAGAGGGAAACAAGGGAGTAGCAATCATATATAGGCTTTATAAAAGCACGATGCTCAAAGTAGACATTCTTTCTGTCTATGTGGGATCAGATGGACAACAGCAGCTGGAAAGATTAGACAGGAAACTTAGGGAGATGTGCATTTCTGTTGATGGAGGAAGAACAACTCAGAAAAGGAGAGTGAGAATGCCATCAATGTAATTGAACTGTACGAGAGTGAGTCAAAAATTATCTGCACTGTGGCTGTAGAATTTATTTTAATCAATTTTTAGAAAAGACAAATACATTATCTTCCCACATTATCTCCTTGCTTTTCATGACACTTTGTCCATCTGTCGACAAGGCTTCATATTTGCTTATTAGGAAATGTTTTAGGTTGAGCTGCGAGCCACGAATGTACTGCTGTCTTCACTTCTTCATCACAGGTGAATCTTTGTCCTTGAAGGGCTGCTTTCAGGGGATCAAACAAGTGACAGCCTGATGGAGCAAGATCAGGACTATAGGAAGGATGCTTTAACACCTCAAAATGAGCTTTTTTCCGTATCAACAGTGTGAGTATAGGTGTGTAGACGTGCATTGTCAAGCAAGATCACAATGTCCTTGGATAGCAGTCTTCTGCATTTAATCCAAAATTTAGGCTTCATTCTCTTCAGGCAGCATCTCACTGAAACAAGCACTGTTGGGTGTTGATAGTGTAATGAGCTCTGATGTGCCTGATCGTTTTCCAGCTTCTGGCTCCAGTGAACCCCAGAAAAATGTAAGCAGTTTTGGTTGACATTTGAACTTTTTCTTGGTTGGGGATTGACGATGTTTTCATTCCATACTTGGCTGTTTACTCTCAGACTCATAGTAATGAATCCATGTCTCATCACCAGTATAACATTGTAAAGAAACTTTTGTTTCCTTTGAGTATCGGTCCAAATTTTGTTTGCAGGTGTCCAAATGCTTCTGTTGATGGTCTTCCATGAGTTGTTTTGGTACCCATCTTGCACAAACATTTCGAACCCCAAGTCTGTGCTGGATGATTTCATAGGCAGAGCCGTGGCTGATTTGCCACATTATATACTGTTACTCATCTATTTGACAGAATCATTTCACAGAGACTCTCAATCAATGTCCTCATGGATGTGGAAAGGTGTTGGAATATATCCGGAGTGTGGGTGATTTTTGACTCACTTTCATGTACGTAGAAACTGTGGAATTAATGGGTGTGTGTTCTTTTGTGTATATTCTCAACAACAATAAAAATAAACAACAAAAAAACTTTTTAAATGATGTATATGTAGTACCTACAGAGTGCCTATGTGCAAACAAATCTGTGGGGTTGTAAATCAGGTTCAGTGAGGGAAAAAGGAGTCAGGAAAAGGCCAGGAAAAGTAACTAGGCTTATAATGCTCACATGTCCTGGTGCAGGGGTGAGGACTGTCCGGCCTCAGGCCATATAAGGCCCAAGAAATCATTTGGTCTGGTGCTGCAAAGGCAACCGCAGTTCGAGCCATCACAATGTTGTTGTTGTTGTTGTTAAGTAAATCTTTGACCAAATATAGCAGGCTAATTTTTAAGTCAATAATTTTGTATGCCCTGCGAATGATGTTACAAATTTTGGCAGAAAAAAGGTTCTCCACCCCTGTCCTTGTTGCTGTTAAGTGCTGTTAAGTGGATTCTGACCCATAAAGACCTTATATGGGGTTTCCAAGGAGCAGCTGATGAGTTTGAACCACCAACCCTTCCCTTGTTGTTGTTAAGTGCTGTCAAGTTGATTTTGACCCATAATGACCCTGTATAGGGTTTCCAAGGAACAGCTTGTGAGTTTGAACCACCAACCTTGAAATTCAAACAACTTTGCAGTCTGCCACATTAGCCCACAGCACCACACCAGGACTCCATAGAGATAGGGAAATACAGCACACCATGACATAAGGCCATACATGGGTTACATCTAGGGACAAGGTAAGAAGCTGGAATAGTAGGACGGGGCTTACATAGGACATGCAGGGTGGGGTTAGCTCGGTTTCTTTGGGTTTCCTGGAGACTGGGCATTTTTAATCATTCTGTAGGAATGTTCAAGGGGCACAAGGCCTGTCTATAGTTGTTGGGTGTCTGTCCCCAGGAGATTAGGATAGGTCTGTGAGAACTTGATAAGGGACGGATTGGAGAGGGGACATAATAAGTTGTTCAAGAAGGGGAATGGACAGGTCTGAAAAGCTATGTCAAGAAAGTATTTAAAGCAAATGGATTGTAGCCTGATTGGTGGTAGTGCTCTGGAAATAGTAGGTTGAACTACACATCACTGTGCTTTCTGGGCTGTTTCAGGCAACATCCAAATCCAACTTGCCTCAGCTCCTGCTCTGTATTCGAAAGCCACTGAATCCTGTTTGTTTCAAGCTTGCCCTTCATTTCCTATTAGATTAGAAGAATTACAAGTACCAACCAACCAAAGATAAAGAGAAACGCATTACCCTTGAGCTAATAATACTTGATGCAAAAGCATTCTCTTTCCCACTTTTGCTCAGCCACCATTCTTCTGTGCTCTGTCCTCCCCTCTCACTCTCCAAGATCTTCTGCCACCTTCAAGGTCATAGTGCTTCTAGAAATTCTAGATCCGATACCTAATTGTATATATTAACAACAGCGGGAGAGTTTAGGTTTAATCCAACAGTACAAATTACAATTGCTGTGAGAGAAGGAAAGAAACATGAATGGGCATCTAGGATAGGCTTTGGGCTTTGAACTTTTACGTTCATTTAATTCTTTCAACAACCCTGGGAAGGGGGTCCACACAGGGTAAACAACTTAAGAGCAGAGCTGAGATTGAAACTCAATATTCTCTAATTATCAAGTTCTTGTCGTCTCCAGAGAGATGACAACAATGCCTTTCTGTAGCTTGCTTATCTCTAAATAGTATTTAAAGATTGTCCCTAATTCTAATGTCTCCCCATCAGGTTGTATACGTCAGCAACAATGGTCTGACCACCATCCTCCCGATGACGGCCATTTCTCTAGAACTTCTCCATCAGGAGGTTGACTTGGCTAGCAACCAGTGGAGGTGTGGCTATAATATGATAATCATCCAACATTTCAGTTCTGAATCCTGGAGGAAAATGTGGGACAAAATTTGCAACAAGTCTATAGGTAAGTCAGTGGTACATTTTCACTCTCTGAAATGGCCCCACTTGAATTGAAAAATGCACCTACAAAAGTTAGTCTCAGTTAAAACAATGACCAAACCATAACTATCGCCCTCAAATCAAGTCCAACTCATAACAACCCTATAGGGCTGAATAGAATGGTGCTATGGGGTTTCCAAGTCTGTAATCTTTAAGTTGATTGCTACATCTTTCTCCTGGGGAGCAATGGGTGGGTTAACAGCCAAACACTTAGCCACTGTGCTACCAGACTTTCTTAAACAATGTCAGTCCCATCAAAAGCAAGAGTTCTGGCCTTTAATGAGATGGAAGGACATAGCAACAACCCAGCAAGGTTGGGGCTCGGACTCTAGGAATGTGTCCTATGGTAGAAAGCACACAGGTGGGGCCTCAGTATTGCCATTTCAGCCATGTGAATACCTGTGTGTTCCGGGTCCCTGTGCTGAGGGCTGTGTGGGACAGATGGTGTGGTCTATTCATATTACCTCCTCTGTGAAAAGGGGGAGCAAGGGAGTAAAAATAATGTATGTAGATAGGCCTTGAAAGAATACAACACTCCAAGTAGACATTCTTTCTGTCTACATGGGATTAAATTGGAAAGATTAGTCAGGAAATTTACAGAGCTGTATGTTTATGTTAACGAGGGAGGAACAACTCAGAAAAGAAGAGAATGCCATCAGTGTCACTGAACTGCCCATGTAGAAACTGTTGAGTTTCTGGATGTCTGTCCTGAACTTTTGGAACTAGGTTTCTTTGCTCACAGAAAAGTCCATAGGGTTTATTTTCCTTAGCTCATGAGTTATATTCTATATGTGCTCAAAGAAACCAAATTCAGAAACAATTGAATTTGATCAAAACAGAAAGTTCACTAGGAGATAAGTTTGCCCCAAAGTCCCCAAATGCTATTATATTTGTATCCTAATTCTTAGCAAATAATTAACCAAAGGTAAAATAGCTTCAATTTGAGATATCCTTATTTTAATGTTTAATAGTGTTCTGAAAGTGTAACCTCACATATTTCAAAAACATATTTTTCTTTGATTTGTTCACTACTCCTTTCCTAAGTTATAAGAAATGTTACTTGTATTGAATATTCTGGAAAACAATTATTTTTCATCATTAATGATCTTGGTTAAATCTCAAACTCTTAACTGAAAACAAAAAGGTTAGGTTGGGTTTGTTTGTTTGTTTGATGAGTCCTGAACTTTGTCCTATTCAGCACTGCTGTTAAAGTAGCAACATGACCGTGAACCGTAAGGTCAATGCTTCAAAGCCACCAGTCACCCCACGAGAGAAAAGACGAGGCTTTCAGCTCCTGTAACCATTTACAGCCGCAGAAACTATACAGGGTCATTATGAGTTGGGACCAACTCAATGAAACTTAACAACAGCACCCCAAGTTTAGAAGAACTTCATGAAAATGAGTTATTTATTGTTATTGCTAATTGTCACCGAGTCAATTCTGACTCATAGTGACCCTGTATAGAGTTTCCGAGGAGCTGCTGGTGGATTTGAACCACCACCTTGCAGTCTAGTGCTTATCCTACAGCGCCACACCAGAAGCCTTAATGTTATCAGCCAGGCTTATTTCATTCTACTGTAAAAGCCACAACTGGCACTTGGATTGTGAAGGGCAGAATATAAAAAACTGGTAGAAAATTAAGTATTTTTTTTATTTTCCCCAACAATGAAGAATGGTTAGGAAGTAATATTGCAAACACAGGTAGGATCAAGACAGATTTTGCAGGGAGCTGATGGGATGTTCTCACAAATGTAGGTGGGTGAAGGTTTGGGAAAAGGATATGCAATGTGGCTGTCCCTCCTTCCATCTGTATTCTTCCCATTGGGCAACAGTCAGACCAAAGAAACATACAACTTCCTGGGCCTAGGAGCAACAATCCAAAGCCTGATGTTTTGTTGTTGTTGTTGTTAAGTGCTGTGGAGTCGGTTCTTGTTCATAACAATCCAGTATAAGGTTTCCAAGGAGGGCTGGAGAGTTTGAGCTGCTGATCTTGCAGTTTAGCAATCCAGTGCTTATCGTATCACATCACACCATTAAATCAATCTGACTCATGGTGACCCCATGAATGCAATGTAGAAATGTCCCATAGGTTTTTCAAGGCTGTGACCATTCGAAAGCAGATCAGCAGGCCTGTCTTCCAAGGCACCTCTGGGGGGATTCAAACTGCCAACATTTTGTTTAGTGATAAAGCACTTTACTCATTGCCCAAGCACCCAGGGACTCGCTAAGCCTGATGAAACAAAACAAAAACAACAAAAACAGAACAAAACCCCTTACTGTCGAGTTGCTTCTGACTCCTGCCAGCCTATAGGACGGAGTAGAACTAACTACCCCGTAGGATTTCCAAGCCTACATTTTTATGGAAGTACAGTGGCACAGCTTTCTGTCCTAGAGGGGCTGCTGGGTTTGATCGATCAACCTCGTGCTTAATCACAGCATCACTAAGGTCCTTCTAAACCTGATAGCTATTTGTGATGCCCAATGAGCCATAGACATACTGTTGGTATGTAAATTGTTGATCATCATGGAACATGCACTTTACAATATATGAGGGTGAGTCAAAAACTATCCGCTCTAGCTGTAGCATTTATTTCTATCAACTTTTAGAAAAGAAACATACATCATTTTCCCATATTATCTCCTTTCTTTTCAATACACTTTGTCCATCTGTCAACGAGCTTTCGTATTCCCTTAGCAAAAAATGTTTTAGGCTGAGCTGCAAGCCACAGATGTACCACCGTCTTCACTTTGCCATCAGTGGTGAAGCTTCATCCTCAAAGGGCTGCTTTCAGGAAACCAAACAGGTGAACGTCTGATAAAGCAATATCAGGACTATAGGGAGGATGCTTTAACACCTCAGAACAAAGTTTTTGCAGTGTCAACAGTGTGGGCAGAGGTGTGTGGACATGCATTGTCATGCAAGATCACAATGCCCTAGAATAGTAGTCCTCTGCATTCGATTTGAAATTTAGGCTTCAGCTCTTCAATGAGCATCTCACTGTAATGAGCACTGTTGATTGTTGAGCCTTTTTCCTGATAGTGTTCCAATACTGGTGTTTGAGAATCTCAGAAAACTGTAAGCATCAATTTTCAGCTTATGGTTGACTTTAAGCTTTTTCTTGGTCAGCGATTGAGGATGTTTCCATTCCATGCTCTGCAGTTTACTCTCAAGCTCATATTGATGAATGCATGTCTCATCACCAGTAGCAATTTTTAAAAAGAATCCTTTAGCTTCTTTTAAGTATCGGTCCAAACTTTGTTTGCAGATGCCTAAATGCTTCTGTTTATGCTCTTCCATGAGTTGCTTTGGTACCCATCTTATACAAAAATTTCAAACCCAAGTCTGTGCTGGTGTATTTCATAGGCAGAACCATGGCTGATTTGCAAGTGACTTGCCACGTAATCCACTGTCACTCATCTGTTTGACAGAATCATTTCACATGCACACTCAATGTTGTCACACTCAATGACTACAAGAATGATAGTCCCAGAGAGTTAATTTATGAAACAGCGACCCAGCAAGATTCTCTCAGCCATGGACATGGACAGGCATTCTAATACAACCGGAGTGCAGATAATTTTTGACTCACCTTCTTAGCTAGCTAAGGGCTGAGGAGGACTCATGGAAGCTTTGAAAACCACTCAAGTCTTGTTTCAACATTGGTTTAATGTGTATTTTATACCCCTCTTTCAGGGAATGAGGAAGCATTCTGGCCGAATCCCCAAAGCAGAATTTCCAGAGAGACCCACCACCCTCACAATCTTAATCACGTGATAAAACTCCTAACAAGACAAGCAGATAGGCCCCAGGCAGGAATGTCTGAGAGCTTTTCTACTTCAGAGAGGAAGGAACAAGTCCACTCTGATGTCAATGAGAAGAAACGTCTGCCAAGACGGGTGAGAGATACCCAGGCCATTCAGACTTTGGAGAGAAACGAAGTTGCTTCCCAGGACCTCTTGCTGGCGGTCTGCCTGTCAGTGTTCATAACATTCTTTGTGGCTTTCTGCCTGGGGGCTTTGACAAGGCCTTATATTGACAGACTGTGGCAACATAGATGCCCAAACAAAAGCTCGAATTCAGCAATTACGTATTCAAATGAAGGCTTCTATGATGAAATTGAAGGTGCAGGAAACATACAGCTCCCCACAAGATTTCCATCCCAGTCCTGTCATGGTTTAAACCTCTGTGAGAACCAGGATGCTTCCACAGTGACGTCAAACCTACAGGCTGTTGTCACTCATGACAGGCATCTTGGAAGCAGCAGAAAAGGGCTGGGCAGCCAGCAGAGTACCACACTATGTGGAAACCACCCCAAAGCTGGAAATAGACATGATAACCTGCTTCCATATGCCAGTGCAGCCCAGATCACTCTCCATGCTGCTAATAATGAACCACTTACTGCAGCACAAGATCACATCTACAAGAATGATAGTCCCAGAGAGTTAATTTATGAAACAGCGACCCAGCAAGATTCTCTCAGTAAGCATTCACTGAGCGCCGCTTCAGTAGCTACTGGCAGATTGCAAACTGTCTCTGGTTCAATTCTTAATGATTCTAATGAATTAAACCCATCGCTCTCCAGAGAAATGGTGTCTTCTTTCTCTAACATGCTAACACATACCAACACCCAGAGGACCAGAGAGAACAAGGAAAGAGAGCGTGCTGAACAGTTACATTCAGGAATGCCAGACTCTCAGCTGGAATTTTCTAAGGAAATTCCAATGAGCACATACATTAACTTACAGGGTATACCACAGCAAGTGTTCAAAGGGATGAGTTCTGAGGAAGAGCATTCATCCTACTACACCACAGTCACACCCAGTGATCCAGGAGATATGGATCCATCAGTCTGTCATCCAAGATGGAACAGTAACCCGGATGTCACTCCTGCCTACATGGAATCACTGCAGAACTATGTTCCTTCTGACACTCAGTCTGGATTAGATACTGACTACGATTCTGATGAAGGGTCTTTATTTACAATAAGTTCAACGGGTACAGAGGGTGAAAGGAGTCTGACTGGAGAAGACGCGTATGGTGAGGAGAGCCACGAGGCCAGAGAGCCCCTGGAGGACAAGGACACAGGGAACAGGACAGATGACATTAGATCATTAGAGAATCTTGAGGACATCAACATCTACCAGGACATTCTGGGGAAATATGACAATCAGGAAGTTCTCTTTGAAGACCCTCTTGTTTCTGGTCCAGGCTCTGGTTTGTGTGAGACTCATCTGGAAAGCGCCTCCAACACTAATGACTCTAAGGATCCACTAACCCTGCCTGGGTCCCGAGACAGCAGTCCTGTAAGTGTGGAAATTCCAGGCACATTCATTTATGATAATGTCATCATTCCTCAGTCAGAGGCAGCACAATGGCATTGTTCACTGAGAGACCTAGAATCATTTTCAGATGTGGATATTTATTCATGTCCTCCTTAAATTTGCTCACATCCTAATCAGCATACTTACCATGAAAAACATTCAGATATTCATAAATCTGAGCCATTCCTTCAGGAAGTAGACACAGTTCAAAAAGATAGTCCTCTTGTTGGTAGACAGTGTGGTGAGACCTGGGGACACTTGAGCCCATGGACAAGGACATAGCCACAGAGGGCTACAGCTAACAGTGAAGCATCCAACTGATATGAAGTGAAGGGAGATAGATGCTCAAGAACACCCAAATTTGCAGACAGTCCCCATTTGACCTAGCTTCGATGGCTTGATAATAAGAATTCGACTAGAGGAAGATTACAAAAAATAAAAAAAAATTAATAAAGGAAACAAGGGTAAATTGCTACAATTTGATGAACCTCTTGGAGGCAGTAACTCTAAATACCAACAGAGAGAAGAGTCTTCACATCAAGTATCAATACTATCCCCTCTGTACACAGAGTAGATAGGGATGGACAACTTAGACATTGGCTACCTAAAATAAGGAGCTCTGGTAGCGTAGTGGTTACAAATCGGGCTGCGAACCTTAAGGTCAGCGGTTCGAAACTACCAGCCGCTCCGCGGGAGAAA